TTGATCATATCTATGTTGTTATTGTTCTCAGGTGCCATAGAGTTGGTACCGACTCATAGCGACCTTATGTACAACAGAACAAAGCTGCCTGGTCCTGCACCAACCTCACAACTATTGCTATGCTTGAGCCCATTGCTGCTGCCACTGTGCCAACAATCCATCTTGTTGGGGGTCTTCCTCTTTTTCACTGACCCTCCACTTTACCAAGTCTGATTTCCATCTCTAGGACTGGTCCTTCCTGTCAGTCTAAAGGTATAATTTACTAATTAAAAACACTGAGGTAAACTATTATGCAAATCTAGATGTTTATCATTATTATCTTCCAAGTAAATAATTTAAAATGCTGCCCTTTTGGAATGCAAATTTATAAGTGATTATATCCTAGTGATAAAATGAAAAGACAGTGAAAAGTGTCCTTTTAACTGCCAAGCACTTTTCATATAGTCATATAATACAACAACTGGGCCATTGACAAAAATAGTCTTTAACTTTGGTAGTAATCCAGTCAAGAACTGTGCAAAACATAGTAGTGTGCTTTTACAATGTGCATACTACACAGAATCAAGTATAGGTCTTTCTTAAAATGATTTTTCAATTAATTGGATTCAATGTGCCAAAGTAAAGTTAATAGAACACATCTTGGCTGAGTATCAGGCATAATTATTGTAGTAGGTCTTTTAATGAATACTAAGAAGGAATCCTGGTGTGGCACTGTGAGATAATGCATTGGACCGCAAGATTGGCGGTTCAAATTCACCAGTCGCTCCTTGGAAACCCTATACAAGGTCGCTATGAGTTAAAACAACAACAGCAGGAACGGTTTTGTTTACTTGGCTACTTGTAATGTCTATTGTATATCTTATGAGTTCATCAAGAACTTTTCTTATATACACCCATAAACTTTTATTAATGATAATGATACACTTCATCCTGTTTATAATCGTCATTATGTAAAACTAGTGCTTGAGCCAGGGTTCCTGCTCAGAAATATGAAAGCCATACACCTGAAATCCTTGAACATTTTCATTTTTCTGTAGAGACTCTAATGAGTAATGAAGACAGGTTACTGTGACTTAATCAAACAAATGATTAGCGCATCAATGTTGCCCCAGGTTCTTGTTGCTGCTGCTGCAGTTGTTAAGTTCCATTGAGTCAGTTCTGATTCATACTGATGACACTGTATAGGGTTTCTAAAGAGTGATTGGTGGGTTTGAACTGCCATCCTTGTGGTTAGCTGGCCAGTGCTTATCCTACAACACTACGTCTGATTATGTTTTGCTTCAGCAATTGGGGTTGCCTCTAAACTGTTTCCCCTACCTTCAGTTATTTGTATGTTTCATTCATCCTTTCCAAACTGCTAGCGAAGCCTTTTCAAAACCCTACTCCATTCAAATCATGTTATTCTCCTGCATTGAAGGACTATTATTTCTTAGTGATTCCCTAAAATACAGACTGGCACTTTTGTGTGCAGTTCTGTGATCTGGTCCCAAATCATCTTAAACAGTTGCCAGACACTTCCAAGCACCCAGTGTTTCAATCACTCAGAATTCTGATGCATCTCTAAACCTGTCCCAGGTTGTCTTCTTTGTGCGTTGCTCAAAAAATTTTTCAACTTGAATGACTTTTCCATCCTCCCATTTCTCCTTTGAATTCTTCTCCATTGTTAACTTTTAGTGCAGTGTGAAATATTGCCTTGTAATAATAAAATGTCCAGTGAAAATATGAGTCCCTCTAGAATGGGAAACTCTGATGGAATACCTGTGGACGATCAGGAGTATATAAAGTATCAGTTTGCAATGAACAACATCTTCACCACTATTATCATATAGAAAAGCAGTGGTTTTCAACATAGTAATAATGGCATCTAGCTAATGATGTCATTACTGAAGAGACAGAATTAAGCTGTGTGGATTAGCTAGTTTGAAAGATGCAATGTTGTATGTAAGCATAGTTGGAGGAACACATAATAAACATCAGCAGTGCAATGCAAAAGGCCAATCCGATCAACTATTTATACTGATGCTCAAAGAAGAAAATAAATCTAGCAATTCTGTGGTCAGATGTTCATGATCCTTTCTGATTATGCTACCAAGGTTAATTTGAGTCAAAATAGACTCATTCATCATAGAAGTCTTGTGACTCTTGTATCAGACTGACTTTATTACTAGGATCTTTCTAACCAACAAATCAAAGACAAGATTTCAGAATTTATGTCCTTGTGTGGAGAGGCATAACGTAGTGTTGAAGTTGGGTAGCTTGGCATTGTAACTTGACTCTGCGATTGAGTAGCTTTGTTATAAATGACTAAACTTCTTTAAGTCTCAGTTTGAACATTTTTAAAATGATAAAAATAGAGTATTTTCTTCATTGGACTGCTATGAAATTTAGTGGTGCTGTGTGATAAGCACTGGACTGCTAACTGCAAGGTTGTTGTTAAGTACCGTGGAGTAGGTTCCGACTCATAGCTATACTGTGTAGGGTTTCCAAGGAGCGGTGGGTGAGTTTGAACTGTCAACCTTGTGGGTAGCAGTCTAGTGCTTATCCTACAGTGCCACAGCAGGATTCCTTAATAATGATATGAATACAGAACCTGGAGTTGAAAATGGGATGGTGGTGGGTGGGGGTGCAGCAATCCTGTTACTTGGCCAAGTCATCATTGCAGGCTGTATGTAGATTCTGTTGCTCTGCTCTGCTCTTTCCTTACGGCAGCAAGTGTCCTCGCTTTCTCACCTCACCTAAAGGAAGTGGGGCCTCCCTTAGTATGCCATTTATCTCATTTCAATAAATGTTTGTTGATGCCCTCTGTGCACTCACTGTGGTGCTGTAGGATAAGTACTGGACTTCTAACCACAAGGTTAGCGGTTCAAATCCACCATTCACTCCTTAGAACCCCTATACAGGGTCACTATGAGTTGGAATAGACTTGACACTTAACAACAACAATAAACCCAGCACTGTACTGTGTCTGGAAGTAATTAGCCCTTCTTCTGAGGAGCCATTGGCCTACTGAGGAGATAAACATATAAACAGATCATTTCACTTCACCATACTAAGAGCTAAGATAAA